GCCTAGAAGTCCCAGTCCCCAGTCCAATGTCAGTATCACGTCTGGCCTGACAACATCCACAAAAGACTCCTCGCAAACACAGTTGTACGACGACCAGAGCAATCGAGAGTTCAAGATGGAATCGGTGTCGATAAGCCTCAATTCGTACAATGAGTCCGACATTGAGTTAAAGGAGAGGTTAGCCGAGTCTCTGGCGGAGACTGAGAAGCAGGAAGAAAGCTCGGTTTCGTGTCAGTTGTCGAACAACGCCACGTCGTCAACTACTGTCCAGGAGACCCATCAGGTGACTAACATGTAACACAACCTCCTGGCATGAATTCAGGCAGCCAAAATACCTTTTTGGTGGCGCCTCGTTCCAAGTATCTCGTCGTATGGTCCGCACAAAATCAACCGTCTCTGTGAATACATAGTCTGAACAATATATATTTATATATATTCTTCCCGTTTCTCCTCACTCTACCAGAAAACACCACCCCGCCCCACCCGCCTAGAAACCAGTCCCGGGTAACATTCTGCTGTCCAGTGCTCTGTCGCCCAACAACACAAACACCCACCTACGCTCTCTCTCTCTCTATATATATAATATCACCTTCGTCTCTTAAACCTTCACAATCGTCTATATCCCAGATATAATCGTCTCTATATCAAATTATCCGCCAATCTCGACACCAACCACCAACCAATCAACCATCACCTTCGCTTTACGACGTTCTATCGACGAAGGGTAATCGAATGAGACAGAGACTGACATCACCGCCGACGTCTGTGGGTTTTTTGCACGAATCTCATCTAAAACAAAATGTTGTCACGGCCTATACTTCTTCCATGCACGATATGGATTTAGAGAAAACCCGTCATCCAACAATCGATTTGTCGCCAAACACGTCCTTTTTTTTCTCCTCCGTTGGTGTATTAAATCCTGCTCTCTCTCTCTCTATATATATATATATTATGGATCCTTTAACAACACACGATCCCAGGCGTTTTTTTTTAGAAGAGAGAGGGTCTCGTCGGGAATGCATCCTTCGTTCTGTCGAACGTGATTAACAAATACCGTCTTACTCTGTTGCTGACAATCTCCTGTGACGCTTCCACCGCCAATCACTACCAGAACAACCGTTACTGCCAATCACCTGTGTTGTTTGCCTCTTGGTTTTCTTGACAATATTAACACGACTTGTTATTCGAATCGAGGCGCTAAAAGTAGAGCATTTGTAGCTCGATCGCTATACATTAGATCACAGATTAAATGCAAATGAGAGAGAAAGAAAGAAACAATGCAAGGAGAAAATGACCGTTTTATTGCTGCACTAGTTCCTCGTGAAGGGAAACGTCCAGTTTCCGTAGAAAATTTCTTTTTTCGTCGGAACGCTGTCACTAATTATAACAAACATAGCCGCTCGAATTAGACGAATTTCTAGCGTGAATCTCATTGATAGACGTAAATACTTGTTTAAATTACTAATTTTTTGTAACTACACGTAATGCAAAATAGCTGACGTTTCTTAGAAACATCATTAATGCCATTAGTTACTTAATTTAGACATCGATACTATCATGCTCTTTCCGTAAAGAAAAAAAAACGAAAAAAAGAAAAAAAGATATTGCATCTGTTGTGTCGTAAGCATCTTGTATTGCGCATGCAGAGTTTTTCTTATCCAAAGGGGTTCACCAGCAGGGTTTTCCAATTCTTTGCGCTGTCCGAAACGCATGAGGAACGATTCTGTCCGGCCGCGAGATTCGATCGTGTCTCTCGTTGCCTTTCGAAAAAAGTAAAGAGTAAAAAAGTGAAAAAGAAGAAATTTCGTTCTCTGCGGTTCAAGTGGCTGGACGGAATCGACCTTTACGTCTTTTGTCCTCGTAGCATGCTGGGATTTGGACTTGCTGCGGATGTCGAATTTCCCTAATCGAAATATTCTAACGAGAAGATGTAATGCATCGTTGCAGAGCACTCCTGAACCCGAGGCACCGGTAGAAAATAACGTGGCCCGTGACAGTACGACAGAGAGTTCAGAAGAAACTACCAAGATTACATCTATTCTAGCCGTCCCATGCGAGATGATGACAGCCCCACCGCCATCAGCACCAGCCATCACCGAAGATGTTGCCTCTGTAGCCAAGGTAACAGAGCGTCTGCCCTCTTTTCTGCTTCTGCCTTGAGTAAAGCGTGTCACGATAAAATTAGCAGAGATAGAGATGATGATCGCCAAAATGATCGTTCATGCGAGCTAAGCACGAGTGATTCTGAGGCCGTTAACGCGATTTAATGTCCATGGAAGAATAGAGTGCGAGGGGCCATCTGATTTAATATTCTAATTCTAATTTAAATAACCTATAACCGTCATATATACCACGATATTTCTCCGTGATAATAGGATTATTAATGATTTTATTACTTCGTTTTTGTCTTTAAAGGCTATCGAAGAGATTGAGATCAGCGACAAGGCTGTTGCGGCAGCAGCCATCGAGTGTAATACGAACGTAAGTGTCTTGGCAAGTATTTTCGATCGATCGATCGACAGAACCACTTGTAACGAATGTACTTCTTTTTTCCTCCCCCCCTTCCTTCTTTCTTTATCGCGTCTATTTTTATAACGATTTGTGTGTTTCTTGTTCACAGGAAATTATCGCGGACGCACATTACCAAAACAAACTGAACGAATAAACACCGCTAACCGAATTGTATTTTGGGAAGAAGAAAGTTCTTTTCTCTCGTTAAAACCAAAAAAGTATATTATATAGATATGTATATTTGGACCATTCCTGCAAACTAAACAGAAAATAACGTTCTTTCGTTACGAGCAACAAAATAAAAAGAAAAAAAAAAAATAATAATGGAACGACGACGATGTTACCGCGACATCGCGAGAGCATATAGACTTTATAGTAGGCCTATTAATAATTATTAGACGGCATTTGACGGCAGGGCGAATGAGAATGTTCACGAATGGCAAATACGGGGTCGTATCATCGAAGAGAACGAACGGGGTTACGAGGACGAGAGTCGAATAAACGAAGAGAAAAAGCAGAAAGAAAGAAACGATTCATTCTGAAATGCGTGGTTATATAGTGCGCCGTTCGCGGATGGTATCTCGAAGCGGGTCATTTTTTACTGTTCTTTTTCGACGGGAATAAAAATTTCAAATAAATTTTTGAATAAAAATTTATAATAAATTTTTCAAACGCTGGGCCGTGCCCAGCCACCCGCAAAGTCGTTAACGATTGGCCCTGCTGCTGTGTAAAGAAAAAAAAAGAAAGAAAAAGAAATTGGAAAAATTGTCATTGTTGCTAAAACATAAGTCGGTGACCATCGCGCGGGGCGGACAAAGCGATGAAAACGAACATTCGAGTAAACGAAGAAATAAATAAATAAAAAGTAACGATTAAGAGGAAAACATCGTTTGTCGCGTATTCCAGAAAAAAAATACTCACCGAGGCGCGCCCTCCCGTAACTACATATTGCTATGTCGAGAGAGAGTATAAGGGACAAGAGAAAAACTGTAACAAAAGAATAACAAAACAACAAAGAGTGGAAAGATCGGAGACTGACAGAGCAAGGTGTGCGTGTGCGTTCGAATGCGTGATGAATGAGCGTGAGAGGATAGAGTTAGAGAGAGAGAGAGAGAATGAAATTGGTGTGTGGAGAAAAGAAGCAAAGGAAACGGTAAAGAACAATTTGGAATGCGGTCTCTCTTCGCCAGAATCTGATGTGAACAGGAAAAGAGTGGAGAGATAAAACGGGAGAAAGCAGAGCGAGAAAAAAAAAATATATGTTATTGAAAGATTATGTCAGAAACGCACGAGTAATGAAACACTCGCATCGCGGTTTTCAAGGGCAGTCGATTTATTTTGCTCGTATTTCTTTCTTCGCGGTCCTTGTTTTTTTCTTAAATAATTGTACAATCGAGAGAGGGTTGGTTTTTATGTTGTAACGAGGAACTGCACACTTCTACGTATGACTTTGGTATGCGCGAGCACACGACACACAACTACACACATGCAAGGACATTACACGCGAAATGCGTACATACGTATCATGCAACACACGAGATAAGGAAAAAAAAAAAATATACAGTATGTCGAGAAACAGTGTAAGTGATATATAATCTAGACATAGAGAAAAGCGTTTGTGTAAATTCGGCGTTTGTTCGAAATGCTAACTTCTCCACACGAGAATACTTACGAACGAGAAAGCCTATTCGTAATTTTATAATAATCATTAAAAAATATCGCCTAATTACAATTACGAAAGAAAAAAAAAAAACATGCACAATTTACCACCCAGAAACGGATTCGTTTTCACGGATCTCCAGGAGTAAATAATTACCTACGAAAGCTTTTTTTATTAAAACCGTAGCGTAGATCGTAAAGTGAAACGAAAAGCGCATATATGTAAATGCTCCAAAATCTCAAGAATACCTGTAAGTGTTAAATGGAGCGAGCGTACACTATGCCCGCGACCGGCATTGATTTTTAAACGATATATTAATGAGTAAGGAGACAGAGGTAAAATTAAAAGTTGTATAGTAAACCTTTCATTAAATATATTGTCCGTAATGATCTTTACAACGAAATTCACCGTTTTTTCGAGACAAGTTTTGGCGACGAGAGCGAACTTTTTATTTAAAAAAAAATGAAAAAAGAAAAAAAAACGAAATCCTTGAACCCGACTGATCTGTGCACTCGACCATCAATCGCTAAAAACTCTGAGGCGCCATCGATGCAAGCCTCCTCGTTTATTTATTTTGCGCACCGGAAACTGCAAAATTGTAAATGAGGTTTTTGCGTCGGAGGCGTCTCAGACACAGAGCAACAGTCTTCAGTATCTTCGATGAGCAGTTATAATAGTAATTAAACTATTCTACATTTATCTATAACCTATAATAAACTGTGAAACAAGTGTAAAATCGTGTGTTTTTATTTCATCTCGAAAAAATTGTTACAATCGTATGTGGATCATAAAAAAAATTTCAGTATTATTTATTTCGTTTCTATTCAAGTTATTGCACGATGCTTTCCATAGCATTTATCAACATGTCCAATTCGTCCTTGTTTAATTCTAAACCTAAAATACGCCTTTTAGATACCTTGTTTTCAACAGTGAGATCTAGTTGAAGAAGGGGTTCTCTTATAGAAGCTAGTTTACTAGAACCCATTACAAGCTGCAATAAATTGTCGAATTTGTGTAAAGTATATCCTCTTGTAAACTGCTCAATACTTTACCTTTAACCTCCAATCAAAATCAGTTACTGTTTCATTCATTTCTTTGGAGTATTCTATCAACAAAGCATCCGTTAATTGCTCCCTTCTTACTTTCAAACATGTCAGTATATTCTGTTGAATGTGTTCTGGCAATTCGTGATATTCCTGTGGCATCTATAAAAAGATTTAGCAGCATTGCAAATATTCTATTAATTTTATGGACAATTTTAGTTATACCTTTTCCTCTGTTAAGTACAACGAAGCTGGATTCCTTAAAAGCATCGATATTAATTTATACGATCCTTCGTACTCTTCTCTACTCCAATCCATGCTATTTACAAATTTATGGTAAGTTGGGCCTGGTTTACCGCATATTTCGTCCACGCATGCATGCAGCAGCTAAACGATGTGCACATATTTCGTAAGATAAAAATCCATTTTTCTCAAATTACGTAAAAAACCATGGTTATTATACTTACTTCTTTCAAAACGTGACTCTTATCTTCACCGAAGAGGTTAAGGTATAAGGTTTGAGCAGTTTCCATAATTGCAGCCTCTCGAGAACTCTTCCAAATTAAGATTACGAATAAAAAAATACAGTAAAATTCAACAAATACTTATAGAAAATATCATTTAGCGTTTTTTTTCTTGGAACGTTTGTTTATTTTACATGGAAATGATTTTACATTGCTGTTTCATTTACATTACACATAACTAGTAGAGTTAAACACCGTTTACAAAAGTACTAAAAATACATTTGTCGAATATAAATAACAACTTTCATATTTTATTCGTATATTTTATTAGACTTGACGTTTCAATTTTGACATATCAGGCTAGGAGAGCTTGCAACCTATAACCTATACGAAAACCTATACCATGACGCACTGATAATTTTCTCTCGTCGCCATCTACGATTGATAACGTCGTCACTAAATATCAAATAGAAATATACGTCAAAAGGAGTAAGAATAGTTGAAATAAACACCAGGTTCGTTAATAGAAAAAATAAGTAGCGTTAAAAATTATAATTTCTTAAAATATACATGCACAATATTCGTGATATATCTATCGAGAAAAGTATCGTTTAAACCGTCAGCCACTGGATGGCGGTAGCGTGACCTTTGTACGGTCTGTGCGGTGAGGGGTGCGCAGTACGTGTGTTTCAACCGTAAGGGTCGTACGTGTTGCGTAAAGTTCCGGGATAAAATTTCCTTCGACAATTATACGCGATTGTTCAAAGTGAGTATTATATACGAGTGATCAATATGTGGATATCGACTTCGAATAAGATGGAACTCCGTGGAGGTCAGCTTAAACGTAAATTGCAATTTTATTGAAACGATACTCATGAATTTCTTTATACAACTTTACTGGTTGATTTCTTGCCTACGTCTATATATGTATATTACCTAGAATTGGTAGCGAGTACAACAGCAAGCTGAATGTTAAGAGGCGTCCTATAGATTCTCGCGATTAACAAATAGAATAATCGGCAGAAAAATCGGACGCCTCCGATTTACCGTGTACGCATTCGTGTATAAATCGAAGTTGAAAACTTGAACTTTTATTCGCGCGGGAAATCGCACGGTAGAGCGCCATCTGTAACGGTTGTGTTTCCGCCATGTTTGAAATGGCAGTAGTTCGAAATGCAGTTGCGTGAAAGTGTGAAAAGTGTAAACCGGCGAAAAATCAATTTATACACGATTGTGCACGGTGTTTCCATTGGCTCGTAAATGCTGGATCAGCTATCAAATCGATGTCGCGATCAAGTTGGCTACTACGTACGTACATACTATAATAATGTATATAAAAGCGTACAAAACACGTTTGAAGGGCGTGGAGGTGGGGGGGAGCGCGATACGAACTACTCTCGACAGGTCGAGACCTGCTGTGTTTTGCTTTCTTTTTTTTTTCCTCGTATACTTTGAACTGCTGCTTCGTAGGTCCGTTGTTTATAGTGTGTACAAGTGGTCGACGATCCTGCGGTGTTTTCATCTACAGAAAATCGTACGTTAATCGTTCTATTTACTCGTACCATTTATCTTTCCCATCTCTCGTTTCGTTTCACTCTTTCGCAAGACTCACGCAAACGTAAACGGACACAGACGTTACGTTAATCTTCGGTACTTTTTTTTGTGCGTGAACATAGAAAAACACACAGACATATCGAAGGGGAAGCTACGTTACGCTTTTTTGCGCAGTTTACTCGACGTGTTTACGATTTCCTCGCTTTGGTATCACGACCGTCGATGTCCTTTACACGGGCGACCGTTTAGGTTCTCTGAACTTTCGAGGAGGCAGGATCTCAGATTAGGCTCGTACGACAACCGAGTCTCTTATCGTTCAATTCTCTGCACTCGTGTAAATTAGAAGTAACACGCGTCTTTCTCAGATCTACGAAGTTCGATTTACAATAATCCCAGCACTCTAACCTCTTCGTTCTCGCACAACATACGGACTCTGAACTCTTAACAACGACTAAGAATACGTTCGACAAATGCGCTAGCAATTTTTCTACTATATTCTAACATCCAAGTAGAGTACGTTCGTGGAACGAGAGGAAGGTGAATTAACGTCGAAACGTGTCGTCGTTCTAAACATCGTAGAATGTTAGGTTAGACGAGACTCGTTTCGTTGAAGCGTCTCCTCTGTCTCGTCTCAACGTGCAACGAATTATCACTGATCTCTGATCGATAACGATATAGTAGAAAAAAAGAAGAGGGGACAACGGAGTATAGTGATAAAGGTCGTCGCTGAAAGTAACCGGATACATTTTATACATAACTGTTTGGTGGGGTACATATGTATACAGTATATCGAGTCTCTCGTAGAAAGGCACTCGGAAAGAAAATGGCACCGTCGATTATTCGCCGCGCGCGTTCCTCGCGCTCTCGACTCCTTCTTCCTCCCTCGTTTTTTCTTTTCTTTTTTTTTTATTGGCACATGCTCTCGTTCTTCTCTAGCCTCCTTCTCCTCTTCCTCTAGCTTCTGTATCGATGGCTCAGGTTCGTGTGGTAATTGGCGATCGCGTCGAATTTGTCCTTTTTTCGTGGACATTTCCCTTGCCGCCTCATGTAATCGCCGAACTCGCAGCTGGGCGTCGCGCATTCCTCGTTTTGAATGCACCTAGAAACGACAACGGTAACAACGTGAAAATATCCAGATTAATTGTGAATTCGACGTGAATTGTGGCGAAGTAGAGTCGGTGGAAAAAATGTAACAAGGTCGTAAATGTGCAGTCGGTGGAAGGAATATAGCAAGTTAATTAACACGTTGAAGGCCGCGAGGGTCATCGATGATCGGCGATGACAAGATTGAATTTAAACGAATGATAATATTTGTGAAAATTTGCGTTTAATGCATCGTGCGGCATATTTAAATACAGTGCTTTTGCGAGCAATGCGGTTTCGATTCTTTTCTTGAAAAATTTCCACGTCCGTTTCGCGATCAGTTTACATACTTAGAATAACTCTCTGAGAGTTGATTGACGCTCTCGGACAGTCACTCTCAAACCACTCGCGAGAAATACTCTCGAGAGCGACTCGCGATAGATTTACTCTCGAGAGCGACTCGCGATAGATTTACTCTCGAGAGCGACTCGCGATAGTTTCACTCTCGAGAGCGACTCGCGATAGATTTACAGTCACTCTCAAACCACTCGCGAGAAATACTCTCGAGAGCGACTCGCGATAGATTTACTCTCAAGAGCAACTATAGATTTACTCTCGAGAGCGACTCGCGATAGATTTACTCTCGAGAGCGACTCGCGATAGTTTCACTCTCGAGAGCGACTCGCGATAATTTCACTCTCGCATGGATACCTAAATAGCTGTATAGCTCACGCGATATTATAAGCCAAGAGTGACACGTGATAGGGTGACTCACCCCGAGGTTTCTTCCGAAGCTAGCTGCGCACGAATAGCGAGCAGAAATCGAGCAGAACGATCGAGCTCAGTCAGTGTTTACCAGGCTGCCGAACGAGTGCCTCGACGAACGACGCTTATACGCGCGATCCTAGTCTTGTCGAAAATTCAGTGCTCCCTCGAACAACTCGAGGTATTTCACGTTTTCCGATTCGGGTTCAATCAAAGCTAAGGCACACTTGATACGGCCCTGACTAAGATTTAACCCTTTGCTTGCCTTCGTTTCAATATTTCAGCGCGATATAATTTAGAAAACATCAAGTTTCAGTATTAACGCATAAAAAAATGCTTGATCATCGTTGACGCGATATAATTTAGAAAACATCAAGTTTCAGTATTAACGCATAAAAAAATGCTTGATCATCGTTCAAGCAGTGTAATTCATCAGTGTACGATATCCGAGGGCAAAAGATCCTTATCTTACGTGCGAAGAAGTTTGAGCATTTGTTGGACCGACTATACTCGAAGAGTACACTACTCACAGTCTATCAGCGAGGGAGAAGTACCCTTTTCCTCGCCTGATCTTGATGCAGTTCTGGTGGTTCTCGTAACAGTTGCACTGGCACTCGCCCTCGGACGTGATTCTCGGCGTGAACTCGGAGGGGCATCGGCACCTGGTCAATTTGAAATTACAAATGATTCTTCCCAGTCGCTACTTGCTAGAGAGCAGCAACTAGTAGAGAGTGTGGAATATAAAGCGTCTGAATCGAATGCTCCGGGAAGGGAGAGAAGAAAAGCGTAGGCACGAACTGCACGACGTTCGTTCCTAGCGAGCTCTATTGGATCGATGGATCGACGCGCATTATACAGACGGCGGTGTGTCTAGCAGAGTAGAGAGAACTCACGGCTTTCTCGGCTGTGCCCTTCTCATGTTCTGAGGTTGCGGAGAGGACTGATGGTGCCTGTAGAATCTCTGCTCGGAGGGTTTCTCGTTGCTCGTGTCGTACTCGGTTCTCTCCCGGCACTCGCATTCCGTGTGGTTGTAGAAAGACAGCTTTTCCACCACGTTGCCACCGCCCACGTTCGTCGTCTGGAAAAGAAAAATCGGAGATGGTTGTTATTCTCCTCGATCGGCTTAGAATGCTGCAGTCCAGTTGGAATTAGAAACTCGAAATGCAAGTGTCGGGATTCAAATTTCCGACGCTTGACCGACCGACTTTTACGATCTGGGCATTTTTTCCACCGACTATACTGGTTGTGTCTGGTAGGAAAATCGCGGCCCGGTTGAAAAACCAACACGATCGCCTGGTATCGCTTTAGTTTTAATTGAGTTCAATTAACCTTAGTCGACTGGCTGGTTGGTGACTAAAGTGGCCGTTGGGCTGGCCGAGGCTCGTTGAACGAGGAAAGGGGTTATCCGTATCGCGGGGCCACACGTAGCAACTCCCTCAATCGACACTAATTACCCTCTACTTGCTACTGTTCTCGCGAGTAGCGATTTCCAACCGCGTCGTGGTTAAAAGTAGAAACTTTGATCGATTCGTCTTCTCAAATTTTTCCTCGATACACTCGGAAGGAGAAGAAGAAGAAGAAGAAGAAAGAAACACTTGAAATTACTGTAATCTAAAACTACCGCAATCTCGCCGCGGTACTTCTCGTACAGGCTGTACCGATCGTCGTGAGAATTCGGGACGCGGATTCGAACGAAATACATAATACATGTTGAAACAGCTTGAAAGCGGGATCTTGGGAGAAGGGTGA